TGTGTGCGTGTGCATGCCTGCACAGGTGTGTAACTTTCCCCAAGAGAAAATGTGTAATCACATCATTAACGCGTACAAGCTACTGTTCACTAAAGTTTTAACATTCCTCGAGGCATCTTCCAATGCGTGGAATCCTCACTGTATTAATATTACTATGCTATTCTTACATTTAGAAAGTGTTACTGTACCAATAAAGTAGCAGGCCACGATAATTGTTGAAAGTGTACTATGTATTTTGATCTGATTGATACAATTTAAATCATGTAGGAGGCGAACTCAGATCATGCTTGTCAGGGCCAACCCGAGCTGAGAGGGACACAACATGCCAGAAAAGAGACCGAGAAACTCGTACATCCCATTTTTAAAGAATTTTTTATAATTTTTTTTTTGAGTAAGTGTTTTACAGCGCTCGCAACTTTTTTCTAATCAAAAGCAGAAAAAACAAGGAAGTTGTGCGGACTAACTTTTCAGAGCATGCTCAGCAAAAATATAGATTTATATTTTATTTTCTAATTTATACTGTTGGTCTTTTATATTCCAAGTGTAGAAAGTGTTTAATCAGACCGTGGGAGAGGTTTATAAGTGTGCGGTGAGGTTTTATAACGGCTAAATATATAAACATGTAATAGATTGATTGTTTCTACTTCACAGATTTTCATATATTATTATTACAGGAGGTTATGGAACATAATCCCTGCGATATTTGTAGAAATACTGTTAATACGCAACACTTACAAATCTATTGACAAAGAGCAGAAATACGTGTACATATTCATTGTCAGTTCAGAGCAAAGACCTCGCCACATTGAGGTTGTAAAATAAACTGTTCAACTGTCCAAACATGAAGACAATACCATTTAGCTTTTGTAAGTTTCATGGCACTTGCAACACAAATAGGTCGTATAAGTGCCGGAAATTAGAGGTGTTACTTACTAGACAGTAACATAAAAAGAAAAGAAGGAGGACAGATAAGGACAACAGATGTTTGATAGAAAAGTAAAGGAGAAAACCGCACCAGAGTGCCCGCCAACCACCCACAAGGAAACACATAGAGGAAAGCAAAAAGCAGAAGGAGAAGGGCAAACAATATGTGAAGCGTGCTGACAAAATGAGTTACCTCTCGGATTCGAGACCTATGGAAATAGATCACGTCATGCTTATTTATAGGTGAAGTTTTTACAATTTATAAGTATAATATAATAAAATGCTTATTTTACTTAAAGAATATGGCATCAATTTAAAAAAATATACAAATTTGATCCTGGTGTAGATTTTTGGCCAAAAGATCTAGATATATCTATCTAAATTTGTGGACTGTGAGAAATAACTCATTTTGTCAGCACGCTTCCCATATATGGCAACTGGGGAACCTTCTCCATAAAAGTATCCCAGGAACAACTTGACACTTACGAACGTCCCGTCTATGAGTTTCCTTTGGATAAAAGGATGTCATGAAGGCCCTTGCCACCACACTTGATGAAGATGAGGAGATTGAGCATGACTATGCACCAGTCTTACGACTGGAAGAACTGGGTGTCTTCAGAGGAAGAGGCAGAACCAGCATGGTACAGGGGATGGAAAGACGGGTTATTAACCAAATGAACACCAGAACAATCAGCAGATGGACTCGGAGATGGATGTTGGAGCGGGGAGAGAAGCACATACGGCAATGCCCGGAGTGCTATGATGTTGTTCCCAAGATCAAGTAATCAAGTTTACGAGTGTATACCAAGTACCTTACTCTTATCAATAGAAAATGTTCATTATATTGCTATCAGGATATAAATGTTTAATTTTGCTTTAGTTGGGGAGGGATTGAGATCTAAGGGGATGACATTTTTTAAAAAAAGGTTAACAAAGAAAAAAAATCTTTGCTAGGAGTCGGAAATGTGAAAAATTCCACAATACAATCTGATAAAAAATCTTACAAAGCGAAGAAATTAAATTTTTTAAATACATGGCACATCACACAAGTAAAAACTATCTAGATCTAAATGAGGGGATCAAAAACCAAAAACCAAAAAAAAAAATACCCACCTAAAACAATAAATGTCATGGCACATAATTATTTGGAAATTCAAGCTTGTTGTACTGAAATTCTGGGACTGTTAGCACACTAATGCGAGACACAGACACACTCTATCGCTTTGTCGAAATCACATCTGTTGGAAACACCCAGGGACCCTCGCTTGCATAACTTACAATACTATAATAGCATATATTCATTAGTTCAGAAAGTTGAATCACAAAAACAGACTCATCAAGCCGAAGTCTGACAGCAAGAAGACAAGTAGAATGAGCTGGAGAGAAGCATAAACATATATATATATTGAGAGAGAGAGAGAAAAAGACATCCCTATAATCTTAAAACGCTGGGAAAAAAAACCAACAAGTTGTAGCTGTCAATGTTGGCACAGTTTAGAGCATTTAGAAGACGGGCTGCTTCGATCCTGAATATCAAGGCCAACCCGGGCTGATACAACGTCCTAGCAGAAGAACTGAGATAGCCTACTCCATTAAAAACACCTCCCCACACAGGAAACTAACTCACTTCTCTTGAGCGCGATGGCAATGAGCCTAACTGCTACACCACAAATGCCGGCAGAATAAGCAAGACAACAGTCGAAAAATTTCAGAAAATGAATGGGATAAGACCCAACATTTAATCATGCTAGATAGATATATATATATATATATATATATATATATATATATATATATATATATAATAAATACGTACACCTTCAGAGAGCAAATGAAGGCAAAGTAAAAACCAAACAGACACTTCACTCACTCACAAACAAAAATTTACACATATTACGCACAGTCTCCCAAACTGCATTTCCTATTTTACATTGGTCAGTAGCAAGTAATAATAGTGATATATATATATATATATATACATTTTTGAGGACCTTGGCAGCTTGGTGCTGGCAGCCATGCAGGAGCGAAGATGTCAAAAAAAAAAAAAAAAGTTGTTAAGTCACAATATCAACAGCAACGTTCAGTCCGTGATCATTGGTGTCATGTGTAATAAACATATCATAATAAATAATATTAATAAGACGTAATTTGGTTAATAATTTTTTTAAATTAGAAAAACCATTTCTAGAGAACCACATTAAAGCTGATTGAAAAGACAAAGAAAAAACAATTGAAAACACAGGAGAGGAAAATAAAGGCAGACGTAGCAGCAGCAGATTTCCCCTCCATTTACGACGGGGGCAATAACAAAACTAGGAAGACTGCGAATCAAATAATTTGACCAGACAACTAAATTAGTCAGTCAACTGACACCGAGTTACAGAAAGGCCATCATAATCGTGTTTGTTCTGAATCCTGGTATCTTATTGTTCTTGTTTCACAGTTTTATTACCTGTAATATCGATGGATCATTTCAACACAATTTGTGGTACGGGTCACTCTTAAAAAATTTTAGGACAAAAATCTCTGGATGCAAAAGACATTTCCTTTTTCGGGAGGAATGGCATTCAAGCCAAAATTTCAATAAGTACGAAAACAAGAAAACTGGTTCTCTAGACAACTTTGGAGGCTCAATCGTCAGCTTGTAAGCACAAAAACGATTCACAAGAAAGGTCAAAGGGTAAATCAACCGTAAATAAATAAAGCGTTAAAAAATACATGCACAGAAAGAGAAGACTCTTCTGTTCAACACAAACATAACATTTTAAATATATATATAGATATAATTAATTCTCACTTTTACTTCATTGCAATATTTTTTTAAAAGCTGTAAAAAATATTGCATACAACAAATTTATAAGGAATCCGTTTGTTCATTGTCAATACAGACACAGAAGAAGCTGTTTAGTAGTACAACAAGTTGCAGCTGAAAAAAAGTATGAGAAATCAGTAACGATCAACGGTGTCAACGTATGAGCAAGGAGCTTCAACACTTTGCCATCACATCTCGCTGATCGGCGATTTGTTTTAGTAGAGGTTTTACGGCGCTCGCAACAGCATAAGGTCATATGAGCGCCACAGGATTAGAGATGTTACAAGAGAGTAACAAACATAAAAAAAGAAGGAGGGGAGATAAAGACGATAGATGTTCGATAGGAAAGAAGAAGCTAACCACACCAGAGCACCCGCCAGCCAACCACCCACTCCGATCAGCGATGTTTACCACCCAGTTTCTTTGGATTTTCCCCAAAATGTCTTTGCCTTCTGATGGCAAGAGTTTTTACTATATGAGCCTTGTGATGGCAAAGTGTTAACAAAATTTTTTTAAATTGTAACAAAGCCAAACAATACAAAAAAGGACAAAGTAAAAGAATGCTGTAACTGTAAATAAGCGATGGATGGATGGATGGATGGATGGATGGATGGATGGATGGATGGATGGATGGATGGATGGATGGATGGATGGATGGATGGACTCAGGACCCATGGGCTAGCAACAAGTTCAAGGTCGCTGCCGCGGCCGTCATGTTCTGTCCACTTCGACAAAAGCTGACAATTTGCTAAAGCTAAAGCCTCCTCACTCTTTACATTTACTTTGTTTTTTTCTCAACGACACACCTTACTACTACCACCACACTAAGTCCTCATTCTTTCCATTTGGTGTTTTTCTTAACCCTCCAAGTGTCACTAATAAATATAGGCCAAATAGCCTGCGACGTCGGGTGGGGGGGGGGAGGGAGGGGAGAGATTATACGATTTCACCATATTATGTCGGAAAATGCTTGAGAAAAGACGAACCAAACAAGTAAAGACCAGAATCTATAGGCCTACTTTTTCAGATAGTAGAAGGTAAATACGAAGAGGAGCTCATTTGTGCAGGAGTTGAAATGTTTGGCGAAATAAAAGAGGAGAAAATTGAAACGAAATAGCGACTCAAATTACAGCAACTTAAATTGGCTGTGACACCACAAAACAAAAAATTACCAGTACGGCTACCATTACTCACTGTCAACACTAGGAGGGTTAAAGAAACAGCCTACGACTATCATACCATGTCCTTACCCTTTTCATGTCAGTTTTTTTTTTTTTTACTTAAAGAAACACCCAACTACTACGTATGTACGTCTACACAGAGAAAAGGTCACTTCACACTTGGTGCTCTTGGTCCCTTGACAAGACACTGGGCTGAAATCAAATGTTACGATAAGATAGAAGGAATCAGGCACTCGTCAATTTTGGGGCATATGGAGTTATTTGTATCATCTTAAAGCTCATTCATTTGTCTAGCATTTGGTGAAAAAAATACCCATCTATCTGGAATAGAAGTCGAGATATTTGCCATTGAAAGAGGTAGGGGTTGCCTGGTGTCAGAGGTAAAATTAGCGAGAAAATGGCGGCCAAAGTTTAGACACCTCCAAAGCTCGAGTGTCCTTGGAGACTAGAAATTTGCATTTTTTGTGCCTTTGATCAGCATTTTTCCATAAAATCCACACAGAAATGTGTTTTTAAATGGACATAACAGGAGTTGAGCTCCCCCCCAAAATTTTTTTTTTAATTGCCCAACGGCCAAAAAATTGCCGTTTTCTTCCATTTCATTACATTGACAAGCGCCTGATTTCACCACGCTGCCTCCCAAATTGTTTTGATAGAAGCATAAACCGTTTCAGACAAACATGCTTACACACACACACAGAGCGAGTGCCTTAGAGTTTGAGAGCAAAGAATGGTGATCCTGACAGGATGCTTTGATACATTACATACACAGAGACGCAGAGAAGAAACAAGAAAATGGACACAACGGTGCAAAGAGGTATTGCAGAAGAATAAAACCCCGAAACAATCCATTGCTTTGAGCATCACATAAGATTGGGAGGCTGGTAAAGCTCTTAGCCTACTGCATGTTGTTGTTATCGATCCAGTAGCCTACTGCATAATAACAGATTAAAATACAATCCACACCCAGCACAAATATTTCATACATTTGGTACAAGTCGCAGAGCATTCACCATAGCATATCTATAAAGGGTCAAATAATTATTGCAGTTCTATCTTGAATTGAAGAGTAAAAAAGATGAGACGAAAAAAATATTTTAAAAAATTAAAAAGTGAGGTGACGGACAATAGTCTACACCTGATCTTTCCAAGCAGCTGTGAAGAAATCAGAACAAAACCCATTGTAGGACGAGACTATGTTCTGTAGTACATATATTAAAGAAAAAATATGTGTCCTCGTCTGTCTGTGTATATCATCATCTGAATAAATTAGGCGTGTGTCAAAAGGAAAATGAACAACTCCAATGTCTTTTTTTTTTAATTCACCGTTTAGAGCAGGGCCAAACAGTTACTCAATTTTCTTGTGTTGGCGACAAAATTGTCAGTTCGCTAAACACTCAAACGCTTCCACAGAATGCCCACCAAAATGCCTCTTGTTTTTTTCAAAAACAATATTTCCATCTTCATTCATTTGAAGAAGAATACATTTGTTCGATACAAAAAGCAAGCCACCGCTGGCTTTGAATATTAAAAAAACCGTAGAAATAGTTAGTGGAATTATTACAATTTCAAACAAATAATTAACAAAAAACTCATGCAAAGCCTAACTACACATTAGGCTTATAAATTGCTCTTCACAGAAGCACATTGTAGCCACTTCCTGAAAAATAAATGTAACATCGCACAGTGAAAAGAGACTACACATCTCCTCCGACTGACGACACATTCTGCCACCAGCTATCATGCACTAAGGATGCTTTCAGTCACATATATCAAATTTATGTGACACACAAGCACATTTTTTTATACGCACTCAAGAACGAGCAATGCCATATTTTTGTCTTCACACTGACACCTCTCTCTCTCTCTACCAAAAATGTTTCTCTCCCCTTTCACAACCCTCTTCAGTCTAACCTGTTCTTCCTTTACAATTTGAAAATGTAAGAAAGGGCATATTTGGTCGCTTTTAAGGACAAGCAGGCTAACCCACATTTCGGGGGTTTCCAGAAATCTTGACCTACTCCAAAAGTGCCCACTACCTATAGGAGAAGATTGCTTTCATTGTGTGTTTAGTTACAGAGAAAACTCTCTAGTCTTTTAAAGATAGATTTCATATGTCCAAAAAACTTTACCTTTGATTTTCTCAAATCAGCATTTTTCGTAATAGCCCCCTTGTGCTTCAAAGCGACCAATTTTCCGTCAGAAGAGGGTTCAGTTAAGGGGAGAGGAAAACTACTCGTATTTGACACAAATTGTTTCACAAACACAAGCACATGCACACAATGAGGTGAGCGGACAGCCTTATTTTCCTTTCTTGCTTTCCTCCTTCTCGTCTAAGCCTTTCACGTTCCCATTTTTTACATGGCCGTTCGCTGAAGAACCATTGGCCCCTCCTTTAGTTCTCTGCAAAGCGAAAGCAAAAGAAAATAATTAAAGTCAGTCTTCTTCTTCTTCTTCTCGATCGCATAACACTTGAAGTCTGGAATCTGTCATAAATTGGGCCGTCCTGCTCAGTATTAAAGTCAGTGAAAAGAAACAAAAGAGACGTGTGTAAGACATCATGCAAAGATATCTCAACTATTTCATTTCTTCTATTCATCATCATCATCATCGGCTAAAACAGCACCTGGACATGGATGGCTAGTGCCTCTATAAATAAATCATTATCGCCTTTCCCACCCTGAATACTGCTTTCAAACTCAAAGTCAGTTCTCCATCCCTAAACCAAGCACCATTAATAATCAAGCCTAATGAAGCCTAACCAATATGTACACCACAGACACTGGCTCTTAGGTTCTCCTTTCACCCAAGTCAGGAGTGAAAGATAATTAAAATATTCCACCTCTCAAAGATGTTCAGTCGAGTTTAAAAGTTTTGGAAAAAGGGACGGTCATGTTCTGAATGTTTCCGCAAGCAGCTTTATCAACAAATGAACCCACTACTTCCAAAGTCTTAGTTTTAGTAAGAGTTTTACGGCGCTTGCAACACAATAAGGTCATACAAGTGCCGAAGACTACAGGCGTTACAAAAGAGTAACAAAAACAAAAAAAGAGAAGGGGAGACAAAGACGATAGATTTTTATAGGAAAGAAGGAGCAAACAACACCAGAGCACCCGCCAACCACCCACTTCCAAAGTCTATTTTCCATCCCTTAACCTAATACCATTAATAATTCAGCCTAATGAACCCTACCTACTACACCACAAACACTGGCTCTTAGGTTCTCCTTCCACCCAAGTCAGGAGTGAACGATAATTCAAATATTCCACCTCCCAAAGATGTTCAGTCAAATTAAAAGATGTGGGAAAAGGGGAAGGTCATGATCTGAATGTTTCTGCAGGCAGCTTTATCAACAAGTGAACCCACTGCTTTCAAAGTCTGTTTTCCATCCCTGAACCCAACACCATTAAACTGTCCCCGTGGTTTTATGCCCAAAAAATTCAGAAATTATGCAAAATGAGCCGAAAAATGTGAAATCATGTGATTCTGTAAATTTTAACAAAGAATGATAAAGGAAATGCATAAAACCCCGGGGACAGATTAATAATTCAGCCCAACGAAGCCTAACCACAACACCACAAACACTGACTCTTAGGATCTCCTTCAAACATTCCACCTCTCAAAGATGTTCCCTCAAACTAGAAGGGGTGGGAAAAGGGGACGGTTGTGAGATCTAAATATTTCTCTACGAGTAGCTTCATCAACAAATGAGCCCATTCCTTTCTAAGTCTCTCACTCCATTGTTAAACTTATCCGTTAATAATTCATTTACAGAGTCACCAGCCATCCATGTCTTGGTGCTGATTTAGCCTCTTTCTCCTCGGTCTATCTTTCTGTCAATTTACTTTCTTTCTTTTTTAATAATTTTTTTTAACGCACCCTGTACCTGTGATTTTGAACCTGAATCTGTTACCAGGCATTGTAAACAAGCCAAACTCCCCCCCCCCCCCACCATATTAACCAACCATAATTAGCAATATCATCCTCACCCATAACAACGCCCCAATTAACAAAATAGAGATAATTTAGGAGGCTGGTTGCTTCAACGCCGCCTGTCAGGGCCAACCCCATCTGTGAGAGGGATGCAACGTACCAACAGAAAGACAGAGATACTTGATAACGACTCTCTCCATACAGGGATCAATTTCGTCGTGTCTTCCGCCTGTCACAGACGGCAAAGCACCTAACTGCTGCACCACAGGCGCCAATGTGTCTTTGTGCCAATGTGTCTTTGTGCTTGTTTGTTTTAGTATAGTTTTACGGCGCTCACAACTGCGAAAGGGCAGTTTAGTTTTATTAGTAAGTTGTTTATGGCACTTGCAACGCATTAAGATGTAAGAAGGTCAGATGAGCGCCAAGGGGTGGATGTCAACAGAGAAGTCCAAACAGGGAAAATCAGGCTTACTCTGCTAACCTCTCTAGCCTCAACAGCACAAAAGTCTGCTTCGACTATCAAGGCACTCCGGAAATAGCAGTTCACAAGAGAGTGACAAACATACAAAAGAAGTAGAGGAAAAATGACGACAGTAAGGATGAGGAAAGAAAAAGCAGCAGTTCCCCCTATGCTGTTCCGGCACAGTATAAGCATGACATTGATAAACCAGCCCATTTATATTAATTCTACTGTGCATAAGAGCATACTCATATTCCCCCTTTGTGAATGCAGAAAGACAGAGATACTCGATAATGACTCTCTCTATACAGGAAGCAATTTTGTCGTGTCTTCCGCCTGCCACGGCAAAGCTCTTAACTGCTGCACCACAGGCGCCAATGTGCAGTCCCCGTGGTTTTATGCACCCCGCATAATTTAGCAAAATTTGATATTTTGCATAATTTCTGATTATTTTCCTTTATCATTCTTTGTTAAAATTAACAGAATCTCATAATTTCACATTTTTGGGCTCAGTTTGCATAATTTCAGAATTCTTCTTGCATAAAACAATATGGAAAGAATGTGTCCTTGTGCTACGCCCTAAAGTTTTCCTCTTTCGGTTCTTGGATTTTCAAAGATACTTACTTTTTTAGTTTTAGTAAGAGTTTTACGGCGCTCGCATATGCATTAAAAAGAGTATACTTACTTTGCTGTGCTGCGCCTTGAGGTAAGCATGGAAATAAAAGTTGAGGAACAGAAGAAGGATGGTGAAGGCGTAAGTGATAAGGGCCCAGTGCATCCATTCGGGGAAGTTACAGCCCTGAACCACGAGAGACTGGAGGGCGTGAATGATGCCGGCCACAAACTGGATCTGAGAATCCGTGGCAGAATTGAGGTCAGAGTGACACGGTTATTTTCAGCACCAGGATTATCCGTGGTGATGATACACGAGGACGTCCAGTTTACGAGAGATGTTCGTTGCCGTGTTTTGTTGTGAAGAGCGAGGAAGTCAGAGTTCAAGTCCGGCCGATGTCCGTCACACAGAAGATCATGTCCAGTAAGCCAGGTAGGTGGTGGAGGGACGGAGATTGAGTGAGGACGAGCGAGTTTGGTTCCAGTTCGAGTCCATTATCCAGCCACAAGTCAGAGGCGCAGATGCCGCAGTTTAGGCAAAGATTTCCCACAAAATTTCGGGTCCAACCAGCCAGGCATTGAGACGACACGAACACAATCGTCACCAGTTTGATGGGTCATCACAGAGAGCATAATAGGGCCCAAGTGAAGAGGGGGGGCGAGAGTAAGAGTAAGAGAGGGAAAAAAAAACACGAAAAACAACATATTAGAAATAACGTAAGGCTTAGACTACGTTACCTTATCTTCTTGTTCACGTTTCCCGTGTGCTGCCGCCGGCGACGATGATTTGGGCTTGATGTATGCTTGCACGTAAAAGTTGACAAAGAGGGCAATGATGGTGAAACCATACACAATGCCAGACCACTCCATCCAAACGGGGTAATCGCATTCTACGTAAATTGACTGGCTGGCATAGACAAGTCCCACAAAGAATTGAAGCTTGAAGGGAGGGGGAAAAAAGAAAGAAAGAGATAGCAGAGGCTGAAGAAATTCCTTCAAAAACACACAGATTCAGCATTTAGTTCACCCATTATGCATTTGTCAATAAAAAGCAATGTGCTACCAAAGAATAAAGGCGTTCCCTAGCTGGAATCTCACTTGTGTCATAAAAATGTTAATGATCCTTTACAAGAATGAGGAAAGCTACAACAAGAATATTTTTAGTAAGCGTGTTGCTCAATTAGACCAGTCTAGAAGAAGAAGTATAAGCACATTGTTAAAGCAATACGCAATAAAAGACAGAAGGAAACAAATTTCCGTTGAGTCCACTGTCAAAGGAATGGAATGACAAATAAAGAATATTTCAGAAACTAGCATAGAAATCTACAGTTGCATAAAAATAGTCCAGGAAAAATTCTTACGTAAGATCAAAAAGAAACCAAGAGCTTAAAATCTTGAGAATTGGACATGGACAACAATAGTTTTTCAATGAAGAGAAAAGAAGCGCATGCAACAGTTAGCCACTGTAAGACTTAAATGAGAGCAGTACTACACCACTACTACCACTACTACAAGACTACACTGTTGAGTCTTGCCCCAACAAAGAATGGGAAAGCAAAAGTTTTTTTCTACGGCTTATGAAAAGTCAAAAGCAAACAAAGTCATACAGATTTTTCTTTTCACGATATTTCAAATACAAGTGTTGGCAACTACGTTGTTAATAGCAGATAATGTTTCATCTGAGCTCTGTAAAAAATGATCTTGTTCATTTCCACCTTCTCTGACTAAGGTCAAAGGACACAAAAAGACACCATTTCAACTGGTAGCTTTGATCAGGGATTGTTATAAGTGACACCCACTCTCTGAAAGTGCACCATATAAGCTGAAAAACTACGAGTAAAAAATGATCTTGTTCATTTCCACCTTCTCTGACTAAGGTCAAAGGACACAAAAAGACACCATTTCAACTGGTAGCTTTGATCAGGGATTGTTATAAGTGACACCCACTCTCTGAAAAGAGTACCATATAAGCTGAAAAACTACGAGGAATAAATGAAAACTCGGAAAGAACACCTTACATTCACGTATATCAGAATTTTAGTTAAAGTTGTTCAAGTGATTCATAGAAACCTTTTTCACAGAAACCTTTTGGAATTTGAAAATTAACACAAAGCTTCCTGCTGACTGAGCTGATAGCCTGGCCCGAGTGGCGTCATATGTGGTATTACAAAAATTTTATTTGATTATTTCAACCTCTTACTTTTCATTTAGTATGCACGTGTACGTCTTACTGCAGTGATTTAGGAGGTTAAGTTTATTTTGATATTCATTAAGATCCTGCATTTTATTTTCCACTCTTTGTCTTTCGTTTATACGTCCCTCGTTAAAAGCTTGGAAGCCTTAATTACTTCTATCAATGTTCTCAGGTATCAACTTTTTTACTTGAACACTTATTGACGAAAGCTTCAAACGAAAGTCAGAATAAAATTAGACATACTGAAACGGAAATGTTATAAGACCAAATAAAAAGTAATTTACAGTTAGAAAGTCCAAGGACAAGAAACTAGTAACTAAGTAGTAAGTAAAGTACGAGCATGCCTTTAAAAAAGTAGACCCAATGATGTGAGACTTTTGCAAAAGAAACGACTCTGACTGAGTCCTCTCATAACTGGTGCGAGATGAGAAACAGTTGTTAGAAGAACACAGCAAACAACAATATCATATCGAAATTTTAATTTTGAAAAAAAAGATATAAATTGTGACTTTCTCCAAGTCTGCTGAAAGCAGCTCCATTTTGAGCTAGGAAAAGTAAGTACAGAAGTGGACTCATTCCATGCAAAAACAGTAGAAATCTACTGACAAAAAGACAAGGAATTGATAGAGAAGCTATGTATCATCAAAAGAAAAGGCTGGAATCTGTATATATATATAACAAGGACAGGGGAGAGAAATGACAGAGGGGTGGAGAGGAGGAATATACAGAAGTATTTGAGTAGAGAGGTTGTGATCTTTGTACAGGGGTGTCTAGGCTAGGTAAAAAACTATCTTTTCATTAGTTTAAATCAAGAGGTCATGCAGTTTTGATAAAAACTCGAAACACAAGTTGGCGTATTTAGAAATCATAAGGTTTGGAATGGAGTGGCAAAGTAAACAGCAAGCCCAAATCACCATCTGGCACACATTGATATATCCAATGAACAAGTGTGGATAGGTACGTAAAGGAAAATCAAAACCCTTACCAACTAAAAGTTACAAAAAAACACATTTAGTTTTCAATAACACACTTAGGTTTTCCCAGAGCTCAAGGTTCTGAAAAGGTTTACGCAACAAAAATAGCAAGCCCAAATCATCATCACCTGGCACAAATCTGTAACAATTCAAACATTAGGCACGACTAGCATTTATCAAATAAAGAAGTTAAACAAATAGCAAATTTATTTGAAAAAACAAAAAAATAACAACTCATAAAGGGCATTGATGACAATTTAACAATACAAATGAAATCTTATATATCTATACCTTCCAATTCTACTGTGGTTTGATTTTCATGGCTGCACAATTAGCTTTATCTCTCAAGCAAGATCTACAAACTAATATTATAGCAACAAAAACAAATCAGTATCAAGCTGCAATGACCCTCATTCTAAGCCTAAGCACTGTAAAGTAATGAATGTGACTACTATTGCAATAGATAAGGTGTCTATTAATCAGGGATAACATTTTTAAGCGACTGCTGATAAAAAAGCTTGAAAATTTTTAAGTGCATAGGTTATGAGTAGAAACAAAATTTAAAAGGAGAAAATCTGCAATTCTGCTCTTCGTATAAATTGTAAGAATTAACATTCAACAAACAGACATCGTAATTGCATGGGGATATTTGTTATAAATTTTTCAACTATTTCCTCCTAAAACATTATAACAAATCAGCTCAAACTGCGACTACATCATAAAGATATGCATTGATGTCCTGAAGCACAGATTACGTAAGTCGCATGAAAAGCGAAATTTCTTGTGAGAAAGACAGATGATTTTCACCAACTGAACATTCCAGTAAGTTTTAAAAATCATTGCGTCAGACAATTCTCCGAAGAGAATGGAAAGTTGCATTAATTTTCCTCATATCAGTCAGGTTTTTGTACGTTGTAAAATGAAAACAGACTTCGATAATGAGTGCTAGAGATCATCAATATCAATTCTTGTTAATTTTGAGAAACTTAAAGCTAAATCAGACAGAATAAATTCCAAGTATTTTTGTTGTAGAAACTGCCAAAAGAATCAAACAAGGGAAATAATGCTGTGAAGCGTACAAAAATAACAGTCGCCGATATTATAAAAACAATTTAGACTTTCAAGGCTCTTCACTTTTTAAGCTTAAATTTTTTTTAAAAACAACTCAACATACTACAAGACACCATAAATATCCCTAAATTAAAAAACCACGAGTTCTTAATAGTTTGTGAACATTTAACACTGCGACTAACTGTATTTGTAGTGTATTTATAAGTATAGAGTTTTCACAGGAACAAGTTACAATCTTTATCAAAGGGCTTTGTTTGTTTAGAATTAAACAATTCTCATTTTAAAAAGAAATCTAGCAGGGGAACGCGAAGAAGAAGAAGGGAAAACTAACATTTCATGTTCAATTTTGTTACGAAACGGAAACAATCTTTAAACAATACTGGGATTTTTTTTTCCAATTTTTATTCTTGGAGTTACTAGGATTCTTTTTTCCTTCTTCGAGTTGCCCCTAAATCATTTGATAGAAGTTAGATATCATCAGCTATCCGTGCAGCCAAGAAAAATTTCCCTCTGGGATAATGAAGTATTATCTTATCTTATCTTATCTTCTTCAACAGATATAAGTTGTAGTGTGTGCGGGCTATGTTCAAGAGTGCCAGGACAGGAATAGACACACCAAAGATCGCCAACTCTACGTGGGACTACTTTCGTTAAAATGGATCAAATCAGTGCTCGTCAACATGAGTGTTACGCCCACTAATAAGTGATATAATAATAATAATGATGGATTGCATTTATATAGCGCATATCTACTTATGCAATGCTCTATGCGCTTAACATGATACATATTATGGATTTACAAATTAATTTTAAAGGCACATAGTATTACATACGATATGATAATATTGGTGGGTGGTGGGGGATCATGTGGATGGTGACAGCTATTATCTAATGTCCCGCTTAAAAATACGACATGTAGGTGGGCAGTGCAAAAATTTTAGCTTCCTAAAGATGGCAAAATAGGGTGCTGGCTACAAAAAGGTTGACTAGCACTAGGTTTTACAATGTAAATAAAGCAGAAACAACATGTGATAAACAGGTGTTGACGGTGTGATGGAAATGTTTTATACATTTACAGGTATGGGGGAGAGGGGAAAACAAAATACAAGTTTTAACAGTGGACCTCGCTTTCGCTCAATTATTTCCACTCACAACCTTGCTTTAAGTGCTCAGTGAGCTATCTAAGAAAAAAGAACGATCTTTGGTCATTAGTTTTAGTAGAGGTTTTATGGCGCTCGCAACTGCATAAGGTCATATGAGCGCCAAATCTTTGGTCATAATAGGTTATCAGGTGAACAAATTAGATCTACAAACATTATGAAAAGGTAGTAGTAGAGAGTATAGGGGAGATAGTGGGTGAGCGGGTTTGAGTGAAAGTCAATGAGTTATATGAAATATATCTAGGAAATTTGAATATTAGAATACTCCGACAAAGTATGAGTGTCCTTGGAAAAAGCCCGTTACACAAAGTCTCCTCACTTAATGGGTACTCAGAGATACAGTGAAAGACCTTGTCAGTATGCTAATGTTTGAGGTTTAATTGGCAGCTAGCATTGTATGCTTCCTGGGAAGCCAAAAACGTTTTTGATTGTAGGTCTAGGATCTGCTGTGACAATAACATTGATTGCAAAACACACAAAGCTGTCTGTTGAGCGGGGATATGCGCTGTACAAACACTTTTTTAATCACTTATTTCTAAGCTTCAACATGAGTCCAGCCTAATATTATATTAATAACATTAATCTGAGTTTCTTCTTTCTACCATTTAGCCAACACTGCCACAACAAAGCGTAATTTGGACAATAAAAGAAATCACAGACTGTTTTCACTTAAAACTGGGAGGCTTTTTATAAGACTCTAAGCACATTTTCTGCACCTCTTTCTAACATCTAAGTCAAATAAAGTCAGCCAGCTGTCCAGATGTGCTTAGCTCCAAAATTTTGACATTTTTATAAAAATTGTAATTTCTTCATCTGTGGTATCGCGCTCGCATGTGCTCGACAAATATTTTGTGGAATTTTGAATTCTGAATGTTTAAAAAAAAAAGCAAAAAGCGATACACAATGTAGGTAAAAACAAAATAAAGTTGTTCCCACATCCAATCCGGACATTGGGGATTGCCTTGTTAGTGAGACAACTTCCTGGGCCTTCGGCATATTGTGGTAGGGTGGCCAGTTCCTTTCCACGCGGCCTTTACTTCCCCAACTCGAAGTCAAGTATTCATTATTGCTGGGTGGGCAGGAAGGGGAAAAAAAAAATCTGTGTCCGAACCGAGGCTCAAACCCAGACTTTCCGCTTCGGAGCCGAGCACTCTAACCGCTCCGCCACCTCATCCTCACACAATGCAGGTGTACAACTATTAAAAGAATAAAACAGTTCTTTTCTTTCTCCTGAAAAATTTTGCTTTCTGGACTGAGTACTTTTGAACAGCTAGCTGACAATATTACGTGAAGCATGCCGACAAATTGAGTTACTTCTCGCAATCGAGCTTAAAGGAAAGAGATACAACATGCTTAAAAGGTGAAGTTTTCACAATTTATAAGTATGAAATAATGAAAGGTATGTTATATTTTACACTTTCCATCACAAGGCTCATATAGTAAAAGCCCTTGCCTTCAAAAGCAAAGGCATTTTGGGGAAAATTCAAAGAAGCTGGGTGGTAAACATTGCTGATCGGCGAGATGTGACGGCAAAGTGTTAAAGAATATGGCATCAATACAATATCTGCAAATTTGACCCTAGTGTCGATGTTTAGCCAATATCTCCATAATTTGTGGATTGCGAGAAGTAACTCATTTTGTCAGCACGCCTCATATAATAAAATATGTCCAAACAAACTACCATGGATCTTCAACACTGCTTCAACTATCCGTTCTCCAACGGTTCTAAGTCATTGTGTGTGCGAGCTGTGCTGAATTATAAAGTTCAAATGGCAGATTTTACTGAAGCTACACTTTGTTCAAGCACACAACGAACAACGAAACTAACAGAAACAGAAACTAGGAGAGGGGGAGGGGGAAAGAAGGGTGAGGGGGTGGGAGGAAAGGGGGGGGGGGGGAGGAGGAGGAAGGGTGGTAGGAGGAGGGGGGGGGGGGAGGCACAACAGAAAAAACCAAGCACTACTGACCAGCTGCAGGCGAGTGAGATAGCGCTTCCACCACAGGTACTTCTGGTATTCGGGGCCGAGGGCTGCCACTCCGTAGTAGGTGTACATGATCACGTGGATGAACGAGTTGATCATGGCACCGAAGAAAGCTGAGGACGTAACGGGTGAAATGAAACCAGGTCACTTTTCTCAGTTTGTTTTAGTAGAGGTTTTATGGTGCTCGCAACTGCATAAGGTCATATGAGCGCCAAGGGGTGAATGTCAACAGAGAAGTCCTTACAGGGAATCAGACTTACTCTGCTCACATCTCTAGCTTCAACAGCTCAAAGTATGCTTTGACTATCAAGGCACCCCAGAAATAGCAGGTCACAATAGTGTGATAAACATACAAAAGAAGTAGAGGAAAATGATGATAGTAAAGATTAGGAAAGATCAGTTCAGGCACAGTTATGAGCATGACATTGTTGGATCAGCCCATGTACAATTCTACTGTGCATTAGAATGAGAAATGTCCCCACTTTGGGAATGGCCTAAAGACACTTCAGTCAGTGGCACCGCCCCGCGGGGGTATCACTTTTCTCAATTTAGAAAAAAAAGAAGAAGAAAGAAAGAAAGAAGAAGAATCAATACGCCTTAACAAGTTGATCATTGCCCCCCCAAAAACTGATGACGCAACCGATGAAATTTAACCGTACAAAATATCTTAATACTGTGATACCTTCTTATGTGTTAGGTTTGCTGGTGAAACAAGGGAGGTGAACAAAGTACTGTCAACCTTGTCCAAGACTACCTCCTTTTGTCTGGTAGAAAAGTAGTCTTCTTAATAGATAATATCAATCATAATAATAATAATAATAATAAAAATAAAAATAAAAGATAGCATTTATTTAGCACTCTACCAATACAAGTATAAGATCTGGGCGCTGTAGTAAAACAAATAAAATCATTTTGCTTCTTTTAAATCATCTTTCTTGGGTTTTTTTTCTCTCCGATTGTCCATCCTACTGCAAAGGTATGAACTGGCTATGCAACCCCCCCCCCCCCCCCCCCGCAAAAAAAAAAATTCATAAACTTTTGGCAGCGTGTGGAAACCAGCACGCGCACACTCAAATATTTTTGGATTATAATAATGATCTTATGTACCTGGTATCAAGACTAAAAAAAAAAAAATACAACGCAGTATTCAAATCATTTCAGAAATCCGAATTTCTGGATTTTTTTCTTTCCTTCTTTGTAACGTCTACTGCCATTGTTAATGACCAAGAAAAATTTCCCCCTGCGAAAATGAATAAAGATAGTCATTGTCGTTGTAAACCGGCAGCTGGGCATGGCTACTCACACTGTCCTCCGGCGACCCACTTGACGCCGATGTACCAGATGGGGAACATGGTGGCGTGGTGGTAGACGTGCAGGAAGCTCACTTGGTTATTCTTCTTGCGCAGGATGAAGAAGACCGTGTCCAGCATCTCCACGCACTTGGAGAAGTAGAACCACCACAGAGCCTTGGCTATCTACAAGCCGCACCAGCCACGACGGTAGAAAGAGAATTAAAACATTAATCATTATGGTGAATCAGATTTCAAGCAAGAAAAAAAGAATTAAAACATTAAACATCATGGTGAGCCTGTGTACTTTATCTGGGGTTGAGCGCTACATAACTGCCAAATAATATTATTATTATTACACCATGATCTTTCTTACCTTATTTCAAATTTTGAAGGGTTTAACCAACTAGCCATATGTTTAGGCAAATAGGTTCTAGTAAAAGTTTTACTGCACTTGCAACACAATAAGGTCATATAAGTGCCTAAGATTAGAAGTGTTACAAGAGAGTAACAGACTGGGAAGATAAGGAGGATAGATGTTTGTCAGGAAGGAAGGAGCAAACCACACCAGAGCACCCGCCAACCACCCACTAGGCAGATAAGCACATCACTTTAGGAAAGGGAAAGGCACTGCTATCTGTGATGTTTGTAATCATTACACGATGCCGGCTGTTATTTCTTTTTTGTTTCTCTCTTTACCATGATAGCAACCTTCAGTAGACTGTGAAGAAGCTATACGAGCCGACAGATGAACTGAGCAGGACGGCCCAATTTATGACAGATACCAGTCTTCAAATGTGACGCGATCAAGAAGAAGAAGAAGAAGAAGAAGGTAGATTATGAGGTCTATAATAATTCTTCCTCCTTGGATGTTAAACGTCATCATCAGATCATGATGGGCAAACTTAATTCTATTATCATTATTATTATAATTACCATTATTATTATTACTATTATTATCTTTATTATTATCATTTTTATCATTATTATTATCATTATTATTATCATCATTATTATTATTATTACAAATTTTGCACTATCACTGGCCCGGTACCTATGGACAAATTCAGAAAGGGGTAATTGTAAATGATATTCATTTTGAGTTGGAGTAAAGAGAAGCACATCGACACAATAATGGTCACTTCAGGCTGAGGTGAATCAAGATATATATATATATATACAGAAACAACAGAGGGAAAGAAAAGAAGTAGGACCAACCAGTGGTGCCCCCCAACCACCGGCAATTGCTACACACACGTAAGTTAACACAGCACAACATACTGTGTACTCACCCTCATCTCGTAATGGTCGTACGTGTAGGACACGGGCTGGCAGGAGTAACTGTAGCCTAGAGCAGTTGAGGAAATAAATAGCTGTAGGAAAAAAGAAGAAGAGAAACAATAATCATTAATAATCAATTTGATTGTGCAAAACATCGTGGCATAGGATGAGAAAACTCCAATCAAGAAATTTGAAAAGTCTATTAATATCTGATATGGGGGTACAAAATAAGTGACCTCTCTGCCAAAACTTGCCCTCAGAACTCTCTTTATAGCTCAACCCTACCCCCGCCTTGTGTTTCTTTTATATCATAATGGCACTGTCAAAGACGACCACTTTTCTCCACCACAAGGGGTCATCGCCAGATACAGGTTTTTAAAAAGAGAATCCGAGCAAAGGAATGAGTAGCAAACCATGATCGTTTGTGTCTCTTTCAGATCTGGCACTTCACAACGATAACTGCCACAAAAAGAAATTCACTGACAATGATGATGGCAGGAGCTACATGTGTTTAAGCTAAACATAGTCTCAGGGTGACTGTTGGGCGACTTGGTAATTATAGCGGGACGTGGGGATCACCAGACTAATGACAAGTATTATTTAAAGCCTCGGTTGGAAATAATTGTAATATGTACAAATATTTTAGCCTCTTAAAAGTTGCCAAAGAGGGTGCTGGCTGTAAAAAGGTTGACAAGCACTGGTATAAAGGAAATGAAAACATTTACATACAAAAACAAAACACACAAAAAACAACAAAAAACTTGTCACTCACCTCTGTGCATATATGTAAGTTGATGAGAACACAGACGAAGTTGTAGATGACTAGAGTGTACTTGAGCTAAATAAAAACATTTACGAACATAAAAAAAACCTTGCCACTCACCTCTGTGCATATATGTAAGTTGATGAGAACACAGACGAAGTTGTAGATGACTAGCGTGTACTTGAGCTTGATGGCCTCGCGGCTCTCCATGATCTTTGGCACTACCCACACGAACAGCAGGTACAGAGCTGTGATGATCAGGGTCGGGGCGTACCCCTGCATGAGGAACCAGTCGGACACGCGCTCATCTGGGGAGAAAGAAGTTTAGATCTAGTCTTAATGTGTGGGTGGTTGTGTTTGTTTTTTGGGGGGGGGTTTTTGTGCTTTTTTAATTTTTAAAAATTGTCAAACTTGTCTTTTTAGTTTTAGTAGAGGTTTTGCGACGCTCGCAACTGCATAAGGTCATATGATTTGTTTTAGTAGAGGTTTTACGGTGCTCGCAACTGCATACGGTCATATGAGCGCGAGAAGATTAGAGGTTTTTGTTTTGTTTTTGTAAAGTGTTTTACGGCGCTCGCAACTGCATAAGGTCATATGAGCGCGCGGGACACACCTAATATTTTCAGTTGGTAGGAAATTTTGAATTTTGCCCGGGTGGCGGCCGAAGCCTACTCTTATCGATTTTAGACCACCAAGGGATCTTTAACGTGCGCAACTTGCACACGGGCCCTCCGAGATTTTTCGCCATTGTCCGAGAAGGCTAGGTGTAGATCTTTCCTACCAGAAGATCAGGGGTGTGGCTGAAAGACAGCAGTAAGAAGAAGCGAAGGAGTAGCAGTAGAAAGGCTGCAGAAAGAATAAGGAGCCCAGAGGAAGGGGCAAAGGAGGTGAGGGGGTGGGGGCAGAAAGAGGAGACGAAAGCAGACGACAGAACATTGCTAGAGAGCAGGAAATGAGGTGAAAGGAGACAAATTTAGAGAAGAAAATTTTTTGGTCACTACCCGGATTCGAACGCGGGACCTTTGAATGAGAGGCCAACACCTTAACCTCTAGGCCACGAGAGCCCCCTAGATTAGAGGTGTTACAAGAGAAAGTAACAAACATAAAAAAGAAAAAAGGGGGAGATAAGGACGATAGATGTTTGATAGGAAAGAAGGAGCAAACCACACCACAGCACCCGCCAAACACCCACTTTTGCTCTTTTTATTTTTAAATATCGTTAAACTTGTCACCCAGTGCCCATTACTGGCACGATCGGCTTGGTTCAGTTCCGTTAGGAAGGGGCGGCTAGCCAGCTCTCTCTCTCCCTCTCTCTCTCTCTCTCTCTCTCTCTCTCTCTCTCTCTCTCTCTCTTCTGGCGCTGTGGCGTCATAAACGGTCAGCAATGCCAACAGCACACAGGAACTCAACAGTCGCCCGGGGGTCCTTAAAAAGTGCTGAAAGTAGTGAAAGTGGGTTACTGAAATGTATGTCCCATACTGAAATGTATGTCCCATACTGAAATGTATGTCCCAGCAGACAAGTGCTAGGCAGCTGAGGGCGCAAGGCGATCATTGCAGAACAAACTGATTTTTCGCCCGACTCACAGAGAGAGAGAGAGAGAGAGAGAGAGAGAGAGAGAGAGAGAGAGAGAGAGAGCGCAGCTGGACTGCGATCGGGAATTCCGGGGATTTTGTAACGTGTTCTGGTATTTTTAGAACAGTTTAGAGGTCAAAGCGGAAAATTGGAAATTCGTATTTTTAATACCGTCTCATCAATCAATTAGTAATTTTAGTTTTGTTGAATTTACTGGGCCAGCCTAACATGGTAATGTGACTCCAAATGCATTA